ATTCCCCCTTCTAACTCGTCCCGTCCCCCGTCCCCCCCCCAAAAAAAAACTTTATTTTAAATAATGCTGTACAGGATTTTTTTAAGACATAAGGATAAGCAATAATGTCAAAAATGCAAGATTCACAAATAATCTGACAAATCTACCATTTCTGAGAACTCTTACAGAAAAGGGTGATTTGCAGAAGTGCAACTAGAGCTCCAAATGGTACCCTACCAGCCTTCAGTACTAAGATATTGGCAAGTCAAATACAGACAGTAGAGGTCGCTGACAAAAAAAAAAAAAAAAAGGCACAACAAGCAAAGAAAGCCAAAACCTGTTCAAAACAGCAAGCATATATGCCTCCTGCATATACACATAGCTAAGCAAACGACTGAAACCCATGAGCAGTGTGGAGCAAACTCCACATTATTTATATATTCAAAACTATTCTAAAATGCAACAGTAAAATATATCACATCTCACACTAAATGTGTCATAGCCAGTTTGTGTTTTGCTCCTAAGTGAGGAAGTCTTACACGATATCTTGATATCAAGTTCATTTCCTCCTACTGCAAATCACAGCACAGTGTCAACTTGTTGTTGGTTAACCCTGGCCAGCAACTAAGCCCCACACAGCCACTCACTCACTTCTGCCCAGTACAATGGGATAGTGAACTGAAAATACAAAAGCGAGGAAAATTGTGGTTGAGTTAGTGACAGTTCTGTAAGTGAAGCAAAGCAGTGCATGCAAGCAAAGCAGAATAATGAATATATTCATTACTTCACATTGACAGGCAGATATTTAGCCGCTTCCAGGAAAGCAGGGCTTCATCATTCCTTAACAGTTACTTGGGAAGACAAACGCCATAACCTCAAATATCCCCACTTCCTCCTTCTCTCCCTGAGCTTGTACCACTAAGCATGTCATACAGCGTGGAATATCCCTTTGGTCAGTTTGGGTCAGTGTCCTGGCTGTGTGTGCTCCCAGAGTGTTGTGCACTCCCACCAGCTGGCTGGGCAGCATGAGAAACAGGGAAAGCCTTGATACTGTATAAACAATGTTCAGCAACAATTGAAATATTGGTGTGTTACCAGCACTGTTTTGGTACGAAATCCTGAACACAGCACCATATTGGCTGCTATGAAGAAAATAAACTCCATCCCTGCCAGACTCAGTACAGAAGTTGTATAGTAAGTTTGTTCAAGTGAAAGCTTGTAAATATTTGAATAGTTCAGAAGTTTCAAAGTTGCAAACTTTGTTGAGACACTAACTCACTACAAATGAAATAAAAATTCTGACTTTTAGATTTTATTTTCCAACCTGCTCATGCCTTCAGAAAATAATTCAAGCTAATGAATTCTGTCAAATTTGAAAGAAGAGCACGTCACAGCTCTTTAAATTAAGAATATCTATAATGGAGTTTTGCCACTTTAGTTATGCAAACAATCTATTTAAAAGTCATCTTATTGACTGAAAGCCAGTAAATCTGGAGAAACATTTCTGAGTCTTTTGTTCTTTGAGATGTAGTGAATTTCATGCAGGTATTTAACCAATTAATACTCCTCATTGCTTCCTACCAGTCATAGCTGCTGTATTTATTCATATAGTCACGATTAAAATCCCTACTTCAATAATACTGTTTTGAATACTGAATATTTGAAGTAAGTAATATATTCCAGCTTGACATGTTCAAAATCAAACAGGAGTAAGTTCCCAGTAAGTTTGGGTTTGGTTGTTTGGTTTTGTTTTTTTTTAATACTTTTTTAGAATCACTCATTACACATGCTCTTGCTTTACAAAGACTGACTTCTAAGTGAAGCTATATGGAATTATATCATAGAATAGTTTGGGGGACCTTAAAAATCATACAGTTCCACCCCCCTGTCATTGGCAGGGATACCTTTCACTAGACCAGGTTGCTCAAAGCCCCATCCAACCGGGCCTTGAACACTCGCACGGATGCAGCATCCACAACTTCTCTAGGCAACCTGTGCCAGTGCCTCAGCACACTCACAGTAAAGAATTTTCTCATAATATCAAATCTAAATCTACTCTCTTTCAGGTTAAAGCCATTCCCACTGGGATCAGATGGAAACTAGGAGAGCTGGAACCAGGTGATCTTGAAGGTCCCTTCGAACCCAAACCATTCGCTGATTCTATGGTGATTTTTCTACCTGCTCAAAGCAGGGCCAACTTTGAAGTTAGAAAAAGGCATTTTGATTCTTCATCCAGTTAATTTTTGAGTATCTCCAGGACAAACATTGTACAGCTGCTCTGAGCAACCCATTTCAGTGTCTGAACATCTTTGTTATCAAGTATTTTCTTAATATCTACCCCTTGCTGCAGCTGATGACAGCTGCCCCTTAACTATTTCTTATGCCCTCCTCAGAAGAGCCTGACTGATCCCTCTATCCTCCTATCATGTAGTTGAAGACAGTAAATTTTTTCCTTTAGCCTATTTCCTTACAGAGACATTAAAAATGCAAGAGCTACTACTGTAAATTTCCTGATAAACTTACTGAGCTTTCTTAAGTCTAATGATATTCAATTTTTTTTTTTTAAGTCTTCTGCATATTTTTACAGTTCCTGTTTTGATAAGAGAGTAGCAGGAGATAGATAAATTATGTTTGAAAGAAAGCAATGATCTTTGAGAAGACTCCTCTACTTGAGGACTAAAAACTACCAATATTGAAACCGAAAGTGTGGTCCAACGCATAAGTGTTATTTTATATTAAATCACTTTCAAGTATAAAAAGAAAAAAATTAAAGTTCCTGAAAATAAAGAAGAGAGGAACAGAGAAGATATTTTTGCTTTTGATATATGTAAAAGAGTTCTCCTGTTGTTTTGTTTGTTTGTTTTTTGTAAAGTATTGGTAATTATCCAGTACATTTACCAAGTTCAACAACAGACCTTGCAGTTGACATCTCTCATCTGCAGTAGAGATTAAGTCTACTTCAGCCTCATCTTGAACTTAATTGAAAGATGACTCAAGATGCACAGATCTCTTAAAGGGAGCTACAGAGACAAAGATTCTGAGAAGCAGAAAACAACCCGAGAGTAGGCTTAATTTCTGAGAGTCAACAAGTAACACATTGAATATTTTCCTTTGATTGTCTGAAAGAAAAAAAGAACAACAGCTTGTTCCAATATTGTTCTAGTAGAGCCATTTCACCCCCCAAAAGTTATTTGTCTTGCTTTCAGAGTAGAAAGAGAAAGCATACTCTCCTTCAGGCTTACCTGTTCCTCTACTTCTTTTATGCTGTTTCTGGCAAGGGGAGGAAGAAAGGCAGGAAACAGAATGATGAACTACCTCATAGTTAATTAGAATTACAATGCATTCGGGGAAAAAAAAAAATCCACCCAAGCAAAGATAAAACTTTAGCTTAGCGAAGACAGAAAAGTTTACTTGCCATTTGATATAAACTTCAATGAAGATCAAGACTAGTTCAAACTTTTTCAGCTACATGCTGGGGTGAAAATGCAGCATATCAAGGAATATATGACAATCTTGGAAGGTTTGGAAAGTGGTAACAACACTTGAAACTATTTATCAAATACCTTCTCATTAAAAGAAAAAAAGGCATCATAAGCTACTACATATAAAAACATGGTCAATTACATGGAAATTTACTTTTTAACATTCTTCCATTAAAACAATTTCTCTTCAGATAACAATTTCAGTCAATAACTGTACACAGTTCTGTGACAGGATCTCTATGAAATAGCATCATATCTAAAAGTGACATTTTCCAAGGAAACCACAGTCCAGTGGGGATTTGCATGTCTGTAAGCAGAATTTTTTATTTCACTAACAGGAATGGATAGTTTAGATTTTAACAGACACATTTAGGAACACCATGTGTAACTCAGTAGAATAAAGATTTGCACTACAATTTATGTCACTATTCATCCTTGTTGCACACAAATAAGTTATTGTCTTAAGCAGAAAGGGAACTTCCTCTCATAAAGGAAAACAAATTAGTCCATACAGCTTTACATCTCCCCGACTTTCCAGCCAAATCCACTCTTTCACATCCTACAAAACACAATTAATTTACTACTAGTTTGTGCTAGTATCATCCCATCTTACAGTGACCTAACTTCAATTAGAAGACCTTAAGGTCCTTTCCAACCCTGACTTTTCTATGATTCTATGATTTCATTCCGTGTGTCTCTTCTACAACTTGACACTAAGGTAAAGCTCTACACCCAGAGCTCTTCTAAGCATGCTCAGATATACCTTTCTTTAGAGCAGGGACAGACACCTGTACCTCGGCTGCAGAGTGCATTATCATTTAATTCACATATTTCCACAAGTATGGCCTCTAAAGGAAGGTAAAATGCCATAAAGCTGTAGTGTTTTATGGTTCACAGCAGTGTTAACTCGAGGTCACCACAGCCTACACCCAGAGAAGTTCTCTCGTCCTGGATGGCAAGTGGCTGAGGGGGAATTACAAACTAAAAGGAGTCTACCATTTCTCAAACGCTTACAGGGCTACAGGACTCACTCGGGGTCCTGAACCCCTCAGGCAAGTACCGAGCGAGGGGACCTTCACTAAGATGAATGAGAGGAAAGGGACGTTAAGCAGAAGCGAGGCTCAGGAAGTCTCCCACAAACGCACACCAGACCCCGCCACCCGCCCGCCACCTCAAACGCCGGCGCCTTTCTCCCCGCCCACCCGCCTCCATGAAGGGGCGCGTGCCCCGTTCAAGCCGGGGCCGCTGGTGCGCGGCGCCGCGCCCTTCCAGCGCGCCGATTGGCTGGTGGCGCCGGCGCTCTGCGGCGCTGTGATCCCGAGGAGCCGTGGCTGCCCGGCTGCCGGGAGCAGGGCCGGGGGGACCCCGGCGCCTCCTCGCCCGACCTGCCGCCTGCCTCGGGGCGCTCCTCCCGCGCGGGCCGGGCGGCGGGAGGAGGAGGAGCGGCGGGGAAAACACGGGGGCCTTCTCCTCCTCCTCCGCGTGTGGCGGCGGGTTCAGCATCTTCGAGACTGAGAGGCCGGGAACAAAGGCTCGGCGCCAGCCCCGGCAGCTCCACCTGCCCCCCGCGGAGATGGCGTCCCTCGGCTTAGGGGGGCTTAATGTCTCCGCCCGTAGGAAGAGCGTCCCGGCTCGCAACGCCGCGGTGGAAAGGAGGAACTTGATCACGGTCTGCAGGTGAGCCGGCCCGGCCCTGTCCTGTCCTGCCCTGCCCCACCCGAGGGGACCGTTCTTAGCCCTCCCACTGCCCTGACCGCTGGTAGGGGATTGTTCCGCCTTTGCTACCGGCGGCCGCCCCGGGGCGGGAGCTCGGGCGCAGCCCGCCCTGCTGGGATGTCGGCCTGAGGGGTACGCAGCACCGGGATGGGGCATCCACATCTATCCTGCTCCTCATCTTGCCGCCTCCATCCTGACTCAGCTCCCTTGGGAGCCTTGGCGTGTCGGCTGGCCGAGGGGCCGGGGCACACCTGGCAGCGCCGTAGGCACACCGGCCAGTTAAATGGTCTTTTTGGGGGGGAGGGGTTTGTTTTAGGCACCTTGATTGTGTTCCTGGGCCAAAGGTGGGTGCTGGAGCAGTGTTGAACTGGAAAGAAGCTCTTTACTGTGAGGGCAGCCGAGGCACTGGAACGGGCTTCCCGAGGAAGTTACCAATGCCCCATCCCTGGCAGTGTTCAGTGCCGGGATGGATGGGGCTTTGAGCAACCTGGTCTAGTGGAAGATGTCCCTGGCCATGTCAGGGAGCTGGAACTAAATGATTTTTAAGGTCCCTTGCAGCTCAAACCATTCTGTGAACTGAGGTTTTCATCTTCACGCAAATAGCTTGGTGTTGCGTCGATGTCTCTTAAACTGACGCGCTATGGCCGCTTTTAAAATACAGACTTTATATGTATTGGACGTGAAGTGAAACCTAAAGCAGCTTTTCCAAGCTGTTGTTGAGTGGCTAACGGTGTGTTCTTGTTAACGCGCTGGTGTCGCAGGAGCAGTCCTGAGGAGGCTTCTGCCTTCAGGGGATATTTTTATCTCCATAATCTAGATCAGGAAATCTGCAGTACGGGCTAGATCTAGTGTATGCAAATGTTTTTTTGTAGCATTTTAGTGCTGAGCTTACACAAGCTTGATAACACTTCCCGTGCAAGCGTTTCCACTGCCGTCATTGTTGAATTCATGCAGCGTTTCCAAGTGTGCAGTACTGACCCATTACATCATGGCAAACTTTTAAATACGTGGATATGCTGGGAGCAGGGACCCCGTCAGTTCACTTGTTTCAATTCCTAAATTTTTAAGTTATCAAACTAATTGGAATATTATCTGGAGAAGGTCTTAAAGAGACTCATATGAGCTATAATATTTTAATTCTTAGAAGTTTTAATTATGTACTACTTAATGCTGCAGTAGTATTTAAAAACAGTTTAGGACTTCAAAATCTTCCCTTTTTAATTTTTTTTTCTCTTTTATTGTATGTTATTAATGGGTTTTCAGAGGGTAACTGTATCATCTGGCTACTGAAAGGAATTTGCTTTGATGTTCCTGCAAGTCCTAGCATCTGGGTTTCAGAGTAGCATCAGTACTATACTGCCTTTTTCCCAGGCTATTCATGCTGACCTCTACTCTTGCTTGTGAAAAAGATATACAACAAAAACATAGAAAAAGAAGGTTTTTACCAAACTTGCCAAAGCAGATCAAATAGAAGTTTTCAGTTTCATTATTCCTACAGAGATACAGACGTAGCCAGTCTGCAGGCTTGGGAAAACAGTGGTTTTATCAAGTAATGACATGAGTATAAAGGTTATAAACAGTTCTTTTTAAAGGTGTATATCGTATTCTATGGAGCTTGCTGTTTTTCTCTGCCTCCCCCTTTGAGAGAAACTCTTCTGTACTCTGTGCTGTTACAATTTATTTTTCAGTTTATTTCATGTCCTTGTCCTGCACTTGAAATGATGTTGTAACACATTTAAAGAGCCTTAGAAATCTGAGGAAATTTAGTCAAATACATATGAAACAAAGAGCTATTGAAGAAATTACTTGAAATTTGTGTATTTTATTATTTTCAGTGAAAATGTAATTTTGCTGTATCTTTACAAAACATGAAGTTTCTAGTTTGTAAATGCACCTTAAAATTTGGAAAGGATGATGAGGAAAAAAAATTTGTGTTATTATGATATGCATACATTTATATACTTTTGTATTCTTCAGCCATTGTAAGAGTAAATGTTTTAAATATTTCTGTGCTTTACCATAGTTATTAACATGTTCTCTTATTATTTAAAAGTGTTATTTGTTAGGAATAGCCAAATCAGTGTCAAAGCCAGTAAGATAATAGTCCTTTCCAATCAAAATCCTGTGAGAATGTGAAATACTTCTGGTAAAAATAGCTTCAATTAATTGATTCAATTATATTTGGATTTATATGGCTTGCTATGCAGTGAAGGTGAGAGAGCAGAAGAAGGATACTCCTCTGGATTGCCATCTGTTAACAGTCTGTGATAATTTAATGAAGTATTTTTGTTAAAGCTTCAATTTAGCAGATTTTTACTTAATAGTTAAAATGGACTTTGGTTTTTTAGTCTTTTCTTATACTGATGACATCTAACTCCTTGTGTGGAATGGGTAGTTTCTTACATTTACAGCTTTAATGAAAAAACCTTTTCCTTCCAAAGTGTTGAGTAGCACTGTAGTAATGGAAAGTAATGTCGTTAATTAAGTTTCATAAACCAAATGTATATGAAAATACATGTGTTTGTGTAACTGCACAGCCATGATTTAAATTGAAACAATTTTTAGTATTTGAATAAGTAATACATGATCTAAGCTCTGTCTCTCTCCATACCCTTTTCCCTGAAGTTTGATGTCTTCCATTTTTAGTAAGTGCTCTTGGGTGTTGAGGCTGTTCTAGGTTCACCTTGGTCTAATCTAGTCTTCTCTAAGATTTGTACATCCATGTAGAGACAGAATCACCAAAAAAAAGTAGAGACAAGCCTTGGAAGTGAGGGTCATAGCTTAAACACAGATTGTTAACACAGAATTAAACAATTGTCAGGAGATGTATTTTTAAAATAGTGATTTTGCTAATATGCAGAAGAGGAACACTGATATTGACCTTTAGCTAAACTGTCTCTTTTCATGTCCAAGCCATGTCCTCTAGCATAAGGGATATTAGTTTATAATCTTGAGGTTTATTCTATATGAATAGTTTACAGTCTTTAAAATGGCATTTTAATGACATTTCCTAATTGAAAGCTAAATACATGCAGCAGAATCCTTCCCTTCATTTGAAAACTAAAGAGGAGCAGAATCTGACAATGAAAAATAAGAAATTCATGTACCAGTCAATTTTTCTGCCCGTTTGCTATCTGATTAGAGACTTGTTACTGTTTTGGAAATAAGCCTGTAGACCTGCGATGTATCCACAGAAGGTTTGGTTTGGGTCTGGAGTTACTAAAGAAATCTGGGAGCTCTTCTTGTGCATCTTGCAAAACAGTGAAGAAACCATCCCAAAAAGATTCCTATAGATCTTTCTTATTTGAGCACGTTTCCCTCTTACATAACTTGGAAGGTCTCTTTAAGGTGGGAGGATGCTACTGTTTCTACATCTTTTTTTTTTTGGCTCAAGCAAGACTGAATTAGTGACAGAGAATGTAGAATCTAATCTTATCTATGCAAGAATCTGAAAACAACTGAATTCACAAGGGTAATTTAGAAACATTGATATTGGAATTTGTCCAATGACAGGTACCGTATGAAAAAAAAAAAACCCAACCCTAACCAACTCTTTTAGTGACACAATGGGAAATGATTGGATAAAAGACATTTTTTTAAAGGAGTCTTATAGTAACGGGTATTGGAGCTGCATCACTCCTCTGGTCCCAGTCTACCAAAAGGTTCATCTTAGAAAATGTCGTTAATTTTCAAGCCATTTTACATTCCTGTGCCCTTTTGTTACAATTTGTGTTAACCTCTGAAGAGTAAGTAGGCTGTTGCTCTAGAGTGCGGTGATGCTGTGTCAGCAGCCCAGTAGAGGGAAAGTGAAGTTGGGAGCATGTCGTGGTTTAAACCCAGTCAGGTAATTCGTTCGCTCACTTCCCCCCCTTTCTTGCCCTCCCCCTGCTCTCGGAGGGACGGAGAGGAGAATCGAAAAGAATGCAACTCCCACGGGTTGAGATAAGAACAGTTTAGTAACTAAGGTATAACACAAATCACTACTGCTACCACCAATGATAATAATGATAAAGGAAATAACAAGGGAAGAGAATACAACACCTCAGCACCAGCCGACCGATAACTTGCCCCCCTCAGCCCGACCAAGCTCCGACCGATACCTCCTCCAACCCTGCCGTCTCCCAGCCCTTCCGGCTAACTCCCAGTTACCTCCTGGGCATGACGTGCTGTGGTATGGAATACCTCTTTGGTCAGTTTGGGTCAGGTGTCCTGTCTCTGCTTCCTCCTGGCCTCCCCTCCTCCCTGGCAGAGCATGAGGCTCACAAAGTCCTTGGCCAAACCAAAACATCGCTTGTTATCAGCTCTGTTCCCGAGCTGAAAGTCAAAACATTGCACTGCACCAGCTACCAAGAAGGGGAAAAATGACTGCTACTGCTGAACCCAGGACATTATCCACCCCTTATTCCATACCATTCACGTCATGCTCAGATCCCCCATTTTCAATATACTCTTATCTTAGTGCATGGACCAGTCCCTATAAAGCTGCTGAGTCCATCTGGTCCATGATGTCAGGCTCCATCTCTTGTAACAGTCTTCCAGAGCAGGAGAGACTGTGTGCAGTGTTCACACTCGTGAATAACCTGGGCAATAGTGTCCATTGCTAAGTCCACCCCTCGATCATGAGTCCATCTCTGTGTTGCATCTCTGCTCTGATGGCTTGAAGTGCTATGGGCCAACCAGGCTTAAAATAATTCACTGTCCCCTTAAGCAGTTTCTGCAGCTTGTTGCTGGGGACTCCATACAGCTGCCTTCCATCTCCGACGCTTCCAAAGCACTGGAGGGACCCAGGGGACTAGATACTTGCCCATACTGTCACACACACCCTGCCACTCCTGGCTGTGAAGCCTTGGGGAAAACCTCTTGGTCCCCCTGTATTGTCGTCTAACCCCAGACAAGACCCAAACCTGACTCTGCTTAACTTTTGAGATCAGACAAAATGGTCGTGGGTAGCACACACTCTGTGTGTGTGCCAGCATGCTGATCCCCATCACAATCAGCAGGCAGGTCCCAAGGACACCCAAAGGCCATTCAAAACCTTCAGAACTCTCAGTTGATGCTGCTGTACTTGTCACTGGGGCTGGTGTAGCTGCTGTGCTTGCCGGCTCTGCCACCGCCAGCTTCTCTTTTCCTGAGTCCAGCTCTTCCTCCTCTGCCTTGCTGGGAAATGCTGCCTGGTCTCCTGCATCCTCCTGGGGCTCGGCAGGCGGCTTCCGGGGAATGCTCTCGGCCGTCGCGAGGCTGGGCTCGGCCGCGGGGCTCGGCTCCTCTGCGGGGCTCGGCTCCTCCGCCGCCTTCTCCCGCTGCTCGGCAGCCGCTTCCTTCTTCTCCTCGACCGCCCCGACCTCCTCCACCGGCAGCCGTCCCCTCGCGGCCTCCGGCCCCGCTCCCGCCGCCGCTTGGTCCCCGGGGCCGCTCTCCCGGGCCGGTTCGGCTGCCGCCGGCTCCCGGGGCCGCTCCCCCTCGGCTCCCCGCAGCCTCACGAAGATGGAGAGTAGGGTGAGGGCCAGGACGGTGAAGAGCAGCCGGACGGCCAGGTACAAGTCCACGGCCACGTCCGTCCCGCCCTGCAGCTGGAGCCCGCCCGTATTACAAGCCATTGCCATAAAGCACAGTGAGACAAGAACCTTAGCCCAGGCCCCATACTTGATAAACACTATCACAGCAAATACCGGCTCTACGTAAGTTACAACATTCTGAAGCTGTGAGATCAAGAGAAACAACTCTGAGAGCCAATAAATCGTCATTGTGATGAGTGACTATTAATCCAGTCAAATCTGTCGTTATCTCAACCCTTCGTGCCCCACGTTGGGCGCCAAAAAGAACTGTCGTGGTTTAAACCCAGTCAGGTAATTCGTTCGCTCACTTCCCCCCCTTTCTTGCCCTCCCCCTGCTCTCGGAGGGACGGAGAGGAGAATCGAAAAGAATGCAACTCCCACGGGTTGAGATAAGAACAGTTTAGTAACTAAGGTATAACACAAATCACTACTGCTACCACCAATGATAATAATGATAAAGGAAATAACAAGGGAAGAGAATACAACACCTCAGCACCAGCCGACCGATAACTTGCCCCCCTCAGCCCGACCAAGCTCCGACCGATACCTCCTCCAACCCTGCCGTCTCCCAGCCCTTCCGGCTAACTCCCAGTTACCTCCTGGGCATGACGTGCTGTGGTATGGAATACCTCTTTGGTCAGTTTGGGTCAGGTGTCCTGTCTCTGCTTCCTCCTGGCCTCCCCTCCTCCCTGGCAGAGCATGAGGCTCACAAAGTCCTTGGCCAAACCAAAACATCGCTTGTTATCAGCTCTGTTCCCGAGCTGAAAGTCAAAACATTGCACTGCACCAGCTACCAAGAAGGGGAAAAATGACTGCTACTGCTGAACCCAGGACAGAGCAACAAAGGGAAAGAAGAAAGCTGCTCTAACTCTACCTGCATGGACGTATTTTCTTCATATCTCTTGTGTGCTTTAGACCTGACCTTTTGTTTCTTGACTTTCAGTCCCCAAGTGGTTCCACATAGGAGCCAGGAGCATAGGCTTTCTTTTCTGGGAGGCCATACACTGGAAACAACATGTGAGGCATCTGCCATGATTGAGTGAAATTGCTCACTTGATGCTTACAGGGTAACCTTTTTTTGAAGGCATCAATAACTTCTACATACCTTAAATCCTTTTTCCAGTCTGTGTGGTAAGCATGGTGAAGTGTGAATATCTAACATGCAAAATGTGCTTCTGACTTTAAATTTAAGCTTAAGATAGGAAGAAGGAAGTAAAAAAAAAAAAACTACAGCAATAAATCCACAAAAGTATTTGCATAAGATATTTTTTATATCTTCCCAAAATATTTCTGGCCAATCATATTTTGCCTAGTAGCACTGTTATTTCCCTGGTCTATGGAAGTAAGGTGTACATACTTGCCCTCTCTGTCTAGAAGTTCTAAAAGCCAGTTTCAGCCAAGCTTGACATAGGTTTTTGGTGACAGTGTAGAGTGATGGAAATTAATATTCTGTGGGGTGCATGGTGGCAGTAATGTGAGCACTTAGAAAAACCACCATTAATGATGCCTTGGGTAACATGGTTTAGTGTGAGGTGTCCCTGCCCATGGCAGGGGGGTTGAAACTAGATGATCTTAAGGTCCTTTCCCACCCTAACTATTCTATGATTCTATGAGCTGTTAGACTATCTTTTCTAATCAGACCCTAGGTATTTAAAAATTGTTGTATCCTTAAAACTAGATATACTCCATTTGAATTGTGGGATGCTTTAAAATAAAAAAAAAAAAATATTGCTTATCTTGATTTTTAGAAGTGTATGCGTGAGTTGCTCTTGAGTGTTTTTTCTTTAATGTATCTCCATATATGTGAATATGTATCCCATACAATATTAATTGGTGAACTTTTAAGTAGGACACCGAATAGAGGAAAAATAGGCATAGCTGCATATTATGCAGCACTTTGTTTTGCAGTTTATGGATGATAGTGTCATGATCATGTCTCTAGTTTCAACATTATGTTATTATATATAGCCCAGTACATTATACTGCTAACTCACCTCTCTCTTGTGTAGGTATCTGTGAGTGAGTGGTATGCTGTACCTTCTCTTTTACAGACCAGCACAGTGTGGAAGAAGTCTTCTTGCCACAGTTAATACTTAGTCATGGCATTGCTATATTAATTTATTTTTCAAAATTATAGATAATTTCACAGCTCTGGTATGGCTTTGAAGAAAAAATTATTACTGCCATTAGGGTAGTCAGTAGCAATGATACTGACTAGGTAGAAATTTACTGGTGGGCATCCATGTCTCTCACTCAAAATTGGTTAAAAACGTGGAGGAGTTAAAAACTGAGTCATAACTTGGCACTGCAGAAGAAGCTTCCTCCCCCACCCTTCTCACTCTTGATTCCTGTCCTGCCAAAACCACTATAACAATAGAAGCCTGCAGGGAAGGTAGGATGGAGAGTCGTTTATTCAGAAGTTTACTTAGTACGACATAATTGAGTTGAAACTCTTGAAATATATGTCAATTCAGTTTGAGCCTAATTTCATTTAGTAAATGAGCATCAGGAGGCTGTGCTGACTGCACTCAGGATGCAGTGCAGTTACTTTTATAGTACAGAGATGTTTGAAAATAGTACTGCTGGTTTAAGGAGTCTCATTCCTGCCCGTGCCTATATAGTATGCTGCTTCTGCAGATGTGCTGTAGAATTGCTTTGAGATGCTGTGAAGCATTATTATGAATGTCACCATGTTTAAGAGTCATTTTATCCCTCTTTTCTTCAAGTACTGGAAATCTAGATCAGTTCATAGTGAGCCCCATAAAAAGTAGAACTGGCACAACTGAGGGAGCAGTGTGCTCAGGTATGGGATCTGAGAGGCTGAGTGGGAACTTCCTAAGTTGCTACTGTTGAAGTTTGGGTGTTGTGAAAACTACCACTTCAGGCTCTAGTATGGCTCCATTAATACATACAGGGATTGTAGCAAGAACCGCAATAAATGCCTCAAAGTAAGTGTTACTTACAAAGTTGAGGACATGTGAAACTTGCCTCGAACCTAAAAACTGAAGAACCAAGGAACTGAAGAAAGGAAAAATGAATTATGATTAAAATGGCAAAGGCAAGAGAAAAATCAATTTTTGTCTTATTCTTCAAGTTTAAACTAGCTGCTCCTGAATAAAAATGAACTTGTGTAAGTGCAGGTGTAACTAAACACAACTAGCTGGCTAGTTGACTAGTTACACCTTGTCTGCTTTTTACTGTGGCTTGATTCAGCCTTTCCAATTTCAAATGTTAGATCATTTGATAACTTTTCTGGCATAATAATGAAGTAATATGGTGCTGAATGGGGATTACCCCCATTCACGGGGAAATCAGCCTGAGTTAATGCACAGAGTTAACGGTGCATAAAAATTAATTAGTTTATAAAATGTTTGGATTATTCTTGCTAGGCTCAAATTACAGTGTTTTCATAATAAGATGAAGTTTATATTTCTGATTCCTGGACATGGAATTTGGGAATAAAAGGAGTGTTGACAAAATATCAAGCAAAAATCATGGTGGTTTGGGGTTGTAATGAGAAATTGATGTTCGGTACTTTATGAGTACTGGTTTTCTACAGCTTTATTACATTAGTTCAGAGAAGAGGAAAATAATTAGCCAATTTCTGTGTAGGAAGTGTGGTGATTTTTGTTTTCTTTTTTTTTTTTTAAGGCTTCATGCCTAAGACCAACAATGATGATGCTATTTCTCAATGTGGTATATATTTACATTGCTCTGACTGAACTTGAAATCATCAAGGTAGTTTTCTGGTTCTTTGGTCATTTGGTTTTTACAAACTACAGAACTATATAGAATTACTGTTCTGCTTTGGAGGCCCAATAGCTATCCATATGATTTATGATTGTCCTGTACTTTTGCTCTAGGTTTTCAGTCAAGACTCTGATTGACCGTTCCTGTTTTGAGACTATAGATGATACTTCCCCTGAATTTAATAATTTTGCAGCCATTCTGGAACAGATTCTAAGTCATCGACTGAAAGGTATGTTAATTAACTTCCATACTGGTGATATGAGAAGTTGTTGATACGAAACCACTGCACATCCGTAGAAACTCCTTGATGCTGAATGAAAGTGTTTCTTTTCGTTGTCCCTTTTCCTGTCCCTTTGTTTTTTGGGGTTTGGGTTTGTTGGTTTTTTTGTTTGCTTGTTTGATTGGTTTTTGCTGGTTTTCTGTTCCTTTGCCGTTGCCTTCCTGATCTTTTGCATTACTGTGGAAAAGTAAAGGAAACAGGTTTTGTGAAACATGTTTCCAGTGTTCTTTTTGGAAGCCTTCTCAGCTGGTAATTAAGTAAGTGAATGTTGCCATGGTGCTGAGTGCTGTCTGCTTTTTTATGATAAGGCTGTGTCCTAAGAGTCTGAGTCTGAAAGACAACTGTAGCGTGTTCTGCTTTAACAGAAGCTATAGGGGAGCGTATCTGTGATGATGCTCCTTTTTCATTCTCCCATTCCTGCTTTTGTTGCCTTCTTTTCCAGACACTGTGTTTAAGCCCTTTAATTTCTGTCCCTCATCCCCCTAGTGAAACTGTTTTTTTGCTACTGGAATGTAATGGGTCTGGATTAAATTGCTTTTGAGAAAGGTCAGTTGTTGATTTCCCTCTTGTGTTGGAGTCAAATGTTGTTCTAATTCAAGAAAATGTCTGTTTGTGTTTTCTGATTGTTCTAGAGGAAGCTGCTTTGCTAAAAGAACAGAATGTGCCTTAGCAGTAACAGTTGTTAGAAAAGGACTTGGGAAGCTTCTCCTCATTCTCAGTTCTGTGCACAGTTTCTGAAATTATTTAAGGATTATGAAGGACATCATAATCGTCTAAATATAGATGTGTAATATGACAATCCACGTCTTTTCATACTTTTTAATATTCATAACTAAGCTTTGCGAACAATATTGTGTGTAGGCTGACATGAGTAGCACAATTACTACCTGCTGTCATTCTGTCAGAGAAGGAAAAAAAAAATCACACTGTGGGGTAGAAACCTAGTGTTTGTCACATTGTGACAAAGATTATTGAAGTAATTATGGGTACTTAGCAACTTGACACTGCATGGAAATTGCTCTGTTTTCTCCTTCTCCCCCAGCTTCTGTGATGTTTGAGCAAAAATCATGAATTCTCCCCCTCCCCCACCAACATTCTTTTGCTTCACAGCCTCTTATTCAGGACAGGCAGTTAGAAGAAGCCTTGAGAAGTTGGCAAATGGGTTACAAGCAAACGGAATTTACAAGTTAAAAATTACTGCAAGTAAGAAATGGATAAAATAAAAAAGCTGAATTGTTGTTTCAGTCTTCCCCGTGTAATTACTGGTATGAATTTCTAAGTTTGCAGAGTTAGATAAAAATAGGGAAAAAGGCAGCAACTTGTGCATTGGATTTCGAACAGAGAATATTTTGGTAATAAGCTAGATATTGTGAGTAATTGTTTTACTCTTTTAAAAGTTGAAAGGGAAATTGAGGAAAAAATGTACCATGGCAACTCAAATTTTAAGAAGATATATATTATACAAAACTGGGCTTGAAAGAAATTGTGTTTATTGGTGGAAATCATTAATATATTCTGAGTGCATACTTTATGTCAGTAGGAACACACTAAAAGCAGACTGGTGAGGGTGGCAGGTTATATAAAACGTTTTAAAGCGGGCAGAACATACATGATCTGCTTTTCTGTAGTAAGATAAATGGCTTCATTGTATCAAAGTTGTCAGTGTATATAAACAGATGATCCAGATTTGAGAATTTGAGTATATAGACCTTTACTTTCTTAAGGCCAAGGCAAATAATAATTCTTAATCTCTAATTTCCTTTGGAAGTATTGAGTGAGGAAGGAAAAATAAAGATTTAATTTGTATTGTAAAGGACTAAGTTTACTTTTATTAGAAAATTTTACTGGCAACTCTTTCCTGACATTAAATGTAAAATGTTTGTAAGGAGCATAGCATAGTCTTGATGGAATATAGTGATTGTTGCTGCTTATTGGTTTCATGTTGAGACAGGATCCAGACAAAACAAAATGGAAGGAAGAAGGTTAGCCATTTTAAGAGGAAAAGTGTTCAACTACAGTGATTAAGACTTTATGCTTTTCCTGAAACTATTGTGATTAGAATACTGAAATAGTAGTTTTTCAAACCTCATCCTCATGGCTATTCTGCTAAAAATGCCAGTTGAGCAATATGAGCACCATTTTTAGATGGATTTTTTGATAGGTAACTGATCTGATGTTGACAGTTTCAAATAGCAAAAGGGTCAGGAACAACATTCATGGTGGTTTGGGTGGCTTTGTTGGCTTTTTTTTTCTTTCAAGAATAATTGAAGAATTGGAAAGTACCTTAGGAAGTCATCCAGTTCTACCTCTTGCTCAAAGTAAGGCTGTCTCAGATTGCTCACAGCATCTTCCAGTTGTGTTGAAAATCTCCATGATATTTCTTAAACTCAGTGCACTTTGCTACAGAAATGTATTCCTCCTTTCCCCTCCCACTGTGGTTATGTTTTCCTAATGCTGGCTATGGTCTTCACCAAACCCTGTGATGAGCCAGACCAGGAAGTCAAACAGGCAGAAATCTAATGACTTTCCCCATGTATGAACTTCTTTAACCCAGCTGCTCATTTTCTTAAGTGTGTTTTAAATGTGGTGTTTACTTAGTCATAAAATGAGGTCAGCATAAATATATCAGCTTGTACAACAGAGATCTATGAATGCTACTTGAGTGCAGGTATCGTTTCATGTGATTCAGAAGTCTTAGCACATACTACACCAATATAGTTCCAAAAAAGGTAACATAATATGCCGTGGCCAAAAGGCCACATCTGTACTACCTTTGAGTTGCATATTCACCAATGCCAGCAAGTGGCAGTCAGTAATAGGCCACTGTTGTTAGAAAAAGCAGTTTGGCTCACAACCTATTTTTTTAATTCCCCTAATGAAGAGAGAAAGAGAGTTTGAGTAAGCTGTATCAACTGTCTTCAGGGATTACAAGCCATTGACTGCCTTCTGCTCTAGAAAGTGGAGAGGTATTTATCCCCATACTGTATAATACTGTATGTGTAGTATACCTGGTGGTTCCCAGCGATGCTGGATTTATTGTGCATGCAGAGTAGGCCAAATATCATAATGAGGGGAATAAAATGCATGTATTTTTCCTGTAATTAAAATAAGATGTGTGGTATGCCTGCTGGCAAGATATAGAATCATAGAATAGTTAGGGTTGGAAAGGACCTTAAGATCATCTAGTTCCACCCCCCCCGCCATGGGCAGGGACACCTCACACTTAACCATGTCACCCAAAGCTCCTTCCAACCTGGCCTTAAACACTGCCAGGGATGGAGCATTCACAACTTCCCTGGACAACCCATTCCAGTGCCTCACCACCCTTAACGGGAAAGAACTTCCTCCTCATATCCAATCTAAACTTTCCCTGTTTAAGTTTGAACCTGTTACCCCTTGTCCTATCACTACGGTCCCTAGTGAAGAGTCCCTCCCCAGAATCCTTATAGGCCCCCTTCCGATACTGGAAGACTGCTATGAAGCTTCCACGCAGCCTTCTCTTCTCCAGGCTGAACAGCCCAAAATTTCTCAACCTGTCCTCATATGGGAGGTGCTCCAGTCCCCTGATCATCCTCATGGCCCTCGTCTGGACTTGTTCCAGCAGTTCCATGTCCTTTTTATGTTGAGGACACCAGAACTGTACACAATAATCCAAGTGATGTCACAAGAGCAGAGTAGAGGGGCAGGATCACCTCCTTCGACCTGCTGGTCACGCTCCTTTTGATGCAGCCCAGGATACGGTTGGCTTTCTGGGCTGCAAGCACACAGTGAAGCCGGCTCATGTTCAGTTTCTCATCGACCAACACCCCCAAGTCCTTCTCCACAGGGCTGCTCTGAATCTTTTCTCTGCCCAACCTGTAGCTGTGCCTGGGATTGCTCTGACCCAGGTGTGGGACCTTGCACTTGGCATGGTTAAACTTCATGAGGTTGGCATCAGCCCACCTCACAAGCGTGTCAGGGTCCCTCTGGATGCCATTCCTTCCCTCCAGCCTATCAACCGAACCACACAGCTTGGTGTCATCGGCAAACCTGCTGAGGGTGCACTCAATCCCACTGTCCATGTCAGCGACAAAGATGTTGAACAAGATTGGTCCCAACACCAATCCCCGAGAGACACCACTTGTTACTGGTCTCCAGCCAGACATTGAGCCATTGACCATAACTCTTTGTGTGTGGCCATCCAGCCAGTTTTTTATCCACCGAGTGGTCCATCCATCAAATTGATGTCTCTCCAATTTAGAGATAAGGATGTTGTGTGGGACAGTGTTGAATGCTTTGCACAAGTCCAGGTAGATGACATCAACTGTTCTACCCTGTCCATCAGTTTCATAGCCCCATCATGGAAAGCCACCAAATTGGTCAGGCAGGATTTCTTCTTAGTGAAGCCATGCTGGCTGTCACCAAGGACCTTGTTGGTTTTCATGTTCCTTAGCATGCCATCCAGGAGAATCTGCTCCAAGATTTTGCCAGGCACAGAGGTGAGACTGACTGCTCTGTAGTTCCCCAGGTCATCCCGTTTCCCCTTCTTGAAAATGGGGTTATATTTTCTTTTTTCCAGTCATAGGGAACTTCACCTGACTGCCATGATTTTCCAAATATGATGGCCAGTGGCTTAGCAACTTCATTTGCCAGCTTCTTCAGGACCCGCAAATGGATTTCATGAGGTCTCATGGACTTGTGCACCTTCAGGTCCTTAAGATGGTCTCAAACCAGGTCCTTTCCTACATTGGGCCTAGGGTCTTCATTCTCACAGTCCCTGCATCTGCCTTCCAAGACTTGGGTGGTGTGGTCAGAGCATTTGCCAGTGAAGACCAAGTCAAAGAAGTCATTCAGAACCTCAGCCTTCTCCAAATCCAGGGTAGCCAGTTCTTCCGATAGCTTCTGGAGGGGGCCCATGTTGTCCCTAGACTGTCTTTTATTCACAGTGTACCTATAGAATCCCTTCCTGT